AGACAGTTGGGTGGGACACAGTTGGTGGAGACACAGTTGGTGGAGACACAGTTGGTGGGGACACAGTTGGTGGGGACACAGTTGATGGAGACACAGTTGAGTGGGACACAGTTGATGGGGACACAGTTGATGGAGACACAGTTGGTGGGACACAGTTGGTGGAACACAGTTGGTGGAGACACAGTTGATGGAGACACAGTTGGTGGAGACACAGTTGGTGGGACACAGTTGATGGAGACACAGTTGAGTGGAACACAGTTGGTGGGGACACAGTTGGTGGTGACAGTTGGTGACACAGTTGGTGGGGACACAGTTGGTGGAGACACAGTTGATGGAGACACAGTTGGTGGAGACACAGGTGGATGGAGACACAGTTGATGGGACACAGTTGGTGGAGACACAGTTGATGGAGACACAGTTGGTGGAGACACAGTTGGTGGAACACAGTTGGTGGAGACAGTTGGTGGAGACACAGTTGGTGGAGACACAGTTGATGGTGACACAGTTGATGGTGAGCTGGTTGGTGGAGACACAGTTGGGTGGGGACACAGTTGGTGACACAGTTGGTGGGGACACAGTTGATGGTAGGACACAGTTGATGGTGGCACAGTTGGTGGGGACACAGTTGGTGGGGGACACAGTTGGTGACACAGTTGGTGGGGACACAGTTGAGTGGTGACACAGTGGTGTGAGCTGATTGATGGTGACACAGTTGGTGGGGACACAGTTGGTGACACAGTTGGTGGGGACAGCAGTTGATGGTGACACAGTTGATGGTGACGCATTGATGGTGACAGTTGGTGGGGACACAGTTGGTGACACAGTTGGTGGAGACACAGTTGATGGAGACACAGTTGGTGTGGGGACACAGTTGGTGGTGATACAGTTGGGTGGGGACACAGTTGGTGGTGACACAGTTGGTGGGGACACAGTTGAGTGGAGACACAGTTGATGGAGACACAGTTGGTGGGACACAGTTGATGGAACACAGTTGGTGGGGACACAGTTGGTGGGAACAGCAGTTGGTGGGGACACAGTTGGGTGGAACACAGTTGGTGGAGACACAGTTGGTGGAGACACAGTTGGTGGGACACAGTTGGTGGAACAGCAGTTGGTGGAACACAGTTGGTGAGCTGCAGTTGGTGGTGACACAGTTGGTGGTGACACAGTTGGTGGAACAGTTGGTGGAACACAGTTGGTGGAGACACAGTTGGTGGAACACAGTTGGTGGGGACACAGTTGATGGAGACACAGTTGGTGGAGACACAGTTGATGTGGAGAGACAGTTGGTGGGGACACAGTTGGTGGAGACACAGTTGGTGTGGAGACACAGTTGGTGAGGTGACACAGTTGGTGGAGACACAGTTGGTGGAACGGAGTTGGTGGAACACAGTTGGTGGGGACACAGTTGGTGGAGACACAGTTGATGGGAGACACAGTTGGTGGGGACACAGTTGGTGGTGACACAGTTGGTGACACAGTTGGTGGGGACACAGTTGATGGAGACACAGTTGATGGAGACACAGTTGGTGGGGACACAGTTGATGGAACACAGTTGATGGAGACTGCAGTTGGTGGGGACACAGTTGGTGGAGACACGGTTGATGGAGACACAGTTGGTGGGGGACAGGTTGGTGGAACACAGTTGGTGGAGACACAGTTGGTGGAGACACAGTTGGTGGGTGACACAGTTGGAGACACAGTTGATGGTGACACAGTTGGTGGGGACACAGTTGGTGGGGACACAGTTGGTGAGACACAGTTGGAGACACAGTTGATGGAGACACAGTTGGTGGAGACACAGTTGGTGGTGACACAGTTGGTGGGCACACAGTTGGAGACACAGTTGGTGGAGACACACAGTTGGTGGAGACACAGTTGGTGGTGACACAGTTGGTGGGACACAGTTGGTGGTGACACAGTTGGTGGGGACACAGTTGAGGGGACACAGTTGTGTGGACACAGTTGGAGACACAGTTGATGGAGACACAGTTGATGGAACTGCAGTTGGGGTGTGACACAGTTGGTGGAGACACAGTTGGTGGTGACACAGTTGGTGGAGACACAGTTGGTGGGCACACAGTTGATGGTGACACAGTTGGTGGTGAGACAGTTGGTGGGGACACAGTTGGTGGAGACACAGTTGATGGAGACACAGTTGGTGGAGACACAGTTGGTGGTAGGCACAGTTGGTGGAGACACAGTTGGTGGAGACACAGTTGGTGTTGACACAGTTGGTGGGGACACAGTTGGTGGTGACGGTTGGTGGGCACACAGTTGGTGGTGACACAGTTGGTGGAGACACAGTTGGTGGAGACACAGTTGGTGGTGACACAGTTGGTGGGACACAGTTGGTGGTGACACAGTTGGTGGAGACACAGTTGGTGGAACACAGTTGGTGGGGACACAGTTGTTGGAACACAGTTGGTGGAGACACAGTTGGTGGGGACAGTTGGTGGAACACAGTTGAGTGAGACACAGTTGGTGGGGACACAGTTGTTGGAGACACAGTTGGTGGGGACACAGTTGATGGAGACACAGTTGGTGGGACACAGTTGGTGGGACACAGTTGGTGGGGACACAGTTGGTGACACAGTTGGTGGGGACACAGTTGATGGGACACAGTTGGTGGGGACACAGTTGGTGGAGACACAGTTGATGGAGACACAGTTGGTGGAACACAGTTGATGGAGACACAGTTGGTGGGGACACAGTTGGTGGAGCACAGTTGATGGAGACACAGTTGATGGTGACACAGTTGGTGGGGCACAGTTGGTGGAGACACAGTTGATGGAACACAGTTGGTGGGGACACAGTTGGTGGAACACAGTTGGTGGAGACACACGTTGATGGAGACACTTTTGGTGGAGACACAGTTGATGGAGACACAGGTGATGGGCAGTTGGTGGAACAGGTTGATGGAGACACAGTTGATGGAGACACAGTTGGTGGAGACACAGTTGGTGGAGCTGGTTGATGGAGACACAGTTGGTGGAGGACACAGTTGGTGGAGACACATTGAGTGGAGACACAGTTGGGTGGTGACACAGTTGGTGGAGACACAGTTGGTGGAACAGTTGATGGAGATACAGTTGAGTGGAGACACAGTTGGTGAGAACGCAGTTGGTGGGACACAGTTGGTGGAGACACAGTTGATGGGACACAGTTGATGGAGACGCAGTTGGTGGAGACACAGTTGGTGGAACACAGTTGAGTGGAGACACAGTTGGTGTGGAGACACAGTTGGTGGAACACAGTTGGTGGTGACACAGTTGGTGGAGACACAGTTGGTGGTGACACAGTTGGGGAGACACAGTTGGTGGAACAGGTTGGTGGTGACACAGTTGGTGGAGCACAGTTGGTGGTGACAGTTGAGTGGAACAGTTGATGGAGACACAGTTGATGGAGAACACAGTTGGTGGAGACACAGTTGGTGGAGACACAGTTGGTGGGTGACACAGTTGGTGGAGACACAGTTGGTGGTGACACAGTTGGTGGGAACAGTTGATTTGGAGACGCAGTTGGTGGAGACACAGTTGGTGGAACACAGTTGGTGGAGGACAGGTTGGTGGAGACACGGTTGGTGGGATGCACAGTTGGTGTGAACAGTTGGTGGTGACACGGTTGGTGGTGACACAGTTGGGTGGAACAGTTGGTGGAGAACTGGTTGGTGGGACACAGTTGGTGGAGACTGGTATTTGGGAACAGTTGTGGATGCAGTTGGTGGTGACAGTTGGGTGGAACACAGTTGGGGTGGAGACACAGTTGGTGGATGCAGTTGGTGGTGACACAGTTGGTGGAACACAGTTGGTGGAACAGTTGGTGGAGACACCAGTTGGTGGATGCAGTTGGTGGTGACACAGTTGGTGGAACACAGTTGGTGGAGACACAGTTGGTAGGGTATGGTTGGTGTGGGACACAGTTGGTGGATGACAGTTGGTGAGTGACAGTTGGGTGGTGACACAGTTGGTGGAGACACAGTTGGTGGGACATGGTTGGTAGGGACATGGTTGGTGGGGACACAGTTGGTGGATGACAGTTGGTGGTGACACAGTTGGTGGGTGACACAGTTGGTGGAACACAGTTGGTGGGACACAGTTGGTGGGGACAGTTGGTGGAGACACGGTTGGTGGGACACAGTTGGTGGAGACACAGTTGGTGGATGCAGTTGGTGGTGACAGTTGGGTGGAACACAGTTGGTGGAACACAGTTGGTGGATGCACAGTTGGTGGTGAGCACAGTTGGTGGGAGTCACAGTTGGTGGAGACACAGTTGGTGGAGCACGGTTGGTGGATGCACGGTTGGTGGTGACACAGTTGGTGGAGACACAGTTGGTGGGACACAGTTGGTTGGGACACAGTTGGTGGAACGGTTGGGTGGACACAGTTGGTGGTGACACGGTTGGTGGGGACCTTTTGGTTGGTGGAGACACAGTTGGTGGAGGACACAGTTGGTGGTGACACAGTTGGTGGAGACACAGTTGGTGGGCGAGCTGGTTGGGGTGGAGACACAGTTGGTGGAGTTGGACATAGTTGGGTGGAACAGCAGTTGGTGGATACAGTTGGTGGAACACAGTTGGTGGAGACACAGTTGGTGGAGACACAGTTGATGGAGACACAGTTGGGGAGACACAGTTGGTGGAGACACAGTTGATGGAGACACAGTTGGTGGAGACACAGTTGGTGGAGACACAGTTGATGGAGACACAGTTGGTGGAGACACAGTTGGTGGAGACACAGTTTGATGCTGGGGACAAGTTGGTGGGGACACAGTTGATGGAGACACAGTTGGTGGAGACACGGTTGGAGATTGCAGTTGGTGGGGAACGGTTGGTGGAGACACCAGTTGGTGGAGACACAGTTGGTTGGAGTCAGTCAGTGGAGACACAGTTGGTGGAGACACAGTTGGTGGAGACACAGTTGGTGGAGACACAGTTGGTGGGGACAGTTGGTGGAGACACAGTTGGTGGACACAGTTGGTGGAGACACAGTTGAAGGAACTCAGTTGGTGGAGACACAGTTGGTGGGGACACAGTTGATGGAACACAGTTGGTGGAACACGGTTGGTGGAGACTTGGTAGGGACACAGTTGGTGGAGACACGGTTGGTGGATACAGTTGGTGGAGACAGTTGGTGGGACACAGTTGGTGGAGACAGTTGGTGGAGACACAGTTGATGGGGACACAGTTGGTGGGACTTAGTTGGTGGGGACACAGTTGGTGGAGACACAGTTGGTGGAGACACAGTTGGTGGAGACGGTTGGTGGGGGACAGTTGGTGGAACTCAGTTGATGGGGACAGTTGGTGGAACATGGTTGGTGGGGACACGTTGAGTGGAACACAGTTGGTGGAACACAGTTGGGTTGGTGGAGACACGGTTGGTGGGGTGCAGTTGGTGGTGACGGTTGGTGGAGACAGTTGGTGGGAACACAGTTGGTGGGCTGGTTGGTGGAGACAGGTTGGTGGTGACACAGTTGGTGGAAGAACACAGTTGGTGGGACACAGTTGGTGGATGACGGTTGGTGGTGACACAGTTGGTGGAGACACAGTTGGTGGAGACACAGTTGGTGGAGTTTCAGTTGGTGGAGACTGGATTGGACACGGTGGTGGAGACACAGTTGGTGGTGACAATTGGGTGGGAGTGACACAGTTGGTGGGTACGGTTGGTGGAGACACAGTTGGTGGAGACACAGTTGATGGAGACACAGTTGGTGGAACACAGTTGGTGGGGTACTGGTTGGTGACACAGTTGGTGGAACACAGTTGGTGGAACATAGTTGGTGGGAACACAGTTGGTGGTGACACGGTTGGTGGAGACACAGTTGGTGGAACACAGTTGGTGGTGACACGGTTGGTGGGGACACAGTTTGGTGGAGACACAGTTGATGGAGACAGGTTGGTGGATTCACAGTTGGTGGTGACACAGTTGGTGGAGACACAGTTGTGGTGTCACAGTTGGTGGAGACGCAGTTGGTGGAGACACAGTTGGGTGGTGAAGGCGTTGGTGGGGACACAGTTGGTGGTGACACAGTTGGGTGATGGAGTTGGTGTAGTGAACTCAGTTGGTGGACACAGTTGGTGGAGACACAGTTGATGGAGACACAGTTGGTGGGGCAGTTGGTGGAACACAGTTGGTGGTGACACAGTTGGTGGAGACACATTGGTAGTTGTGACACAGTTGGTGAACTGATGAGTGGAACACAGTTGGTGGAGACACAGTTGCTGGTATTGGGTGGGGACGATTGGTGGTGGAGACACAGTTGGTGGAGACAGTTGAGTGGAGACACAGTTGGTGGGGGACACAGTTGGAGGACATAGAGCTGGTTGATGGAGACACAGTTGGACACAGTTGGTGGGACACAGTTGGTGGAACTGGTTGGTGGAACACAGTTGATGGAGACAGTTGGTGGGGCCAGTTGGTTGAGGGGCACATGTTGGTGGAGACACAGTTGATGGAGTGCAGTTGGTGGAACCAGGTTGGAACACAGTTGGTGGTGGGACACAGTTGTTGGAGACAGTTGGTGACACAGTTGGGTGGAACACAGTTGGTGGGGCAGTTGATGGTAGTTGGTGGAACACAGTTGGTGGTAGTTGGTGGAGACTACGGTTGGTACGGTTGGGTGGTGGCACAGTTGGTGGAACACAGTTGGTGGAACTGGTTGTGGAACACAGTTGGTGGAGAAGCTGGTGGAACACAGTTGGTGGAACACAGTTGGTGGGTGGTGGTGACAGTTGGAACAGTTGGGTGGGGACAGTTGGGTGGAACAGGTTGGTGGAGACTTGCAGTTGGTGGAGGTTGGTGGGTGGAGAACAGTTGGTGAACTGGTTGATTGTTGGGGAGACACAGTTGGTGACAGTTGGAGTTGATGAGAACTGGTTGATGGGTTAATTGGATACACGGTTGGGTGGTGACACAGTTATGGTGGAACACAGTTGGTGGTACACAGTTGGGTGGAACACGGTTGGAACACAGTTGGTAGGATACAGTTGGTGGTAACACAGTTGGTGAGAACACAGTTGGTGTAACTGGTGTAGTTGGTGGAACACAGTTGGAGACACAGTTGGGTTGGTGGGTAGTTGGTGGAACCACAGTTGGTGGAACAGGTTGGTGGAGACACAGTTGGTGGAACACAGTTGAGTGGGGCTGGTGGGACACAGTTGGAACACAGTTGGTGATTGGTGGACACAGTTGGTGACACAGTTGGTGGGACACAGTTGGTGACCTGTTGGTAGAGACAGTTGGGTTGGTTGGTCGCAATTGGGTTGAGTTGATCAGTTGGTGTGGGTTGGGAACTGCAGTTGGTGGGTTAGAACGTTGTGACGGTTGATGGAACACAGTTGGTGTAGAACAGTTGGTGGTTACAATTGAACAGGTTGGTGAACAATTGGGTGGGGACACAGTTGGTGGGAATAGAACTGGTTGGGTGGTTGTGGAGACAGTTGGGTAGGACAGTTGAACTGGTTAGGTAGAGACATAGTTGGTGAACGTTGGTGGTTAGAACAGTTGGTGGGTGAACTGTGGTTGACAGTTGGGTTGAACTTGGTTGCCTGTTGGGTTGGAACCAGTTGGTGGTTTGGTTGGTTGGAGACACAGTTGGTGGATACACAGTTGGTGGGAGACGAGTTGGTGTCGTGGTTGGTGGAGACACAGTTTGTTGGAGATTGGTGGTGACGTTAGTTTGGAGACACAGTTGGTGAACAGTTGGGTTGGAGACGGTTGTGGGGACTGTTGGTGGAACGGTTGGTGGATCACAGTTGGGGGTCAGTTGATGGTGGTTGTTGGTGGTTGGGATTGGTTTGGTTGTGGACACAGTTGGTGGCTGGTTGATGGATGCAGTTGGGTAAACGGTTAGTGGGCTGGTTGGTGGACAGTTGGTGGAACACAGTTGGTGGAGACACAGTTGGTGGGAACACAGTTGGTGGTGTTGGTTGGTGGAGACAGTTGGTGGAGACACAGCTGATGGGGACACAGCTGGTGGAGACACAGGGTGGTGGGAGACACAGCTGGTGGGGACACAGCTGGTGGAGACACAGCTGGTGGAGACACAGTTGGTGGAGACACGGTGGTGGAGACAGTTGGTGGTGACACAGCTGGTGGAGACACAGCTGGTGGAGACACAGCTGGTGGGGACACAGCTGATGGAACACAGCTGGTGGAGACACAGTTGGAGACACAGCTGGTGGAGACACAGCTGGTGGAGACACAGCTGGTGGTGACACAGTTGGTGGAGACACAGTTGGTGGAGACACAGCTGGTGGAGACACAGTTGTGGGGACACAGTTGATGGAGACACAGTTGAGTGGAGACACAGCTGGTGGAGACACAGCTGGTGGAGACACAGCTGGTGGGGACACAGCTGGTGGAGACACAGCTGGTGGAGACACAGCTGGTGGATCACAGCTGGTGGAGCAGTTGGTGGAGACACAGCTGGTGGATGCACAGCTGATGGAGACAGGTGGTGTGGCGTCACAGCTGGTGGAACAGCTGATGGAGACACAGCTGGTGGAGGAAGCACAGCTGGTGGAGACACAGCTGGTGGAACACAGCTGGTGGAGACACAGCTGGTGGGGACACAGCTGGTGGGAACACAGCTGGTGGAGACACAGTTGGTGGTGACACAGTTGAGTGGTGACACAGCTGGTGGAGACACAGCTGGAGTGGGAGGTGACACAGCTGGGTGACACAGCTGGTGGAGACACAGTTGGTGGAGACACAGTTGGTGGAGACACGGTTGGTGGATGCAGTTGAACGGAGACACAGTTGATGGAGCACAGCTGGTGGCGCACAGCTGGTGGAGACACAGCTGGTGGGGACACAGCTGGGCACAGTTGGGTGGAACACAGCTGGTGGAGACACAGTTGGTGGTGAGCCAGCTGGTGGAGACACAGCTGGTGGTGACACAGCTGGTGGGGACACAGCTGGTGGAGACACAGCTGGTGGATGCAGTTGGTGGAGACACAGCTGGTGGAACACAGCTGGTGGGGACACAGCTGGTGGGGACACAGCTGATGGAGACACAGCTGGTGGAGACACAGCTGGTGGTGACACAGTTGGTGGAGACACAGCTGGTGGAGACACAGCTGGGGTGGGGGACAGCTGGTGGAACACAGTTGGTGGATGCAGCTGGTGGACACAGCTGGTGGCGCTGGTTGTGGAGACACAGCTGGTGGAGACACAGTTGGTGGTGACACAGTTGGTGGAGACACAGTTGGTGGAGACAGCTGGTGGAGACACAGCTGGTGGAGACACAGTTGGTGAGGTGACACAGCTGGTGGAGACACAGCTGGTGGAGACACAGCTGATGGAGACACAGTTGGTGGGGACACAGTTGGTGGAACACAGCTGATGGAGCCAGCTGGTGGAGACACAGCTGGTGGAGACACAGTTGGTGGAGACACAGCTGGTGGAGACACAGGCTGGTGGAGACAAGCTGGTGGAGACAGCTGGTGGACATGTTGGCAGGAGACAGCTGGTGGTGACAGCTGGTGGGGACACAGCTGATGGAGACACACAGCAGGTGACACAGCTGGTGGGGACACAGCTGGTGGTGACACAGCCAGGAGACACAGTTGGTGAGGCACAGCCAGGAGACAGCTGATGGAGACATAGCTGGTGAGCATACAGCTGAGACACAGCTGGTGGAGCACAGCTGGTGGTGACACAGCTGGTGACATTAACAGCTGGTGGTGACACAGCTGGTGAGACACAGCTGATGGAGCATGCTGATGTGACATTGCTGGTGGACACACAGCTGGTGTATTGCTGGTGCTGGTGGAGACAGCTGGTGGACACAGCTGATGGAGCATACAGCTGGTGGAGACACAGCTGTGAGCACACAGCTGATGGACACACAGCTGGTGGAGACAGCTGGTGGGGACACAGCTGGTGGACACACAGCTGATGGAGACACAGCTGGTGACACAGCTGGTGGGGACACAGCTGATGGAGACACAGCTGGTGGTGACACATGATGGAGACACAGCTGATGGAGACACAGCTGATGGTGACACAGCTGGTGACATTACAGCTGATGGAGCATACAGTCAGATGGAGACACAGCTGGTGGACACAGCTGGTGGGGACACAGCTGATGGTGACACAGCTGGAGACATGCTGATGGAGACACAGCTGGTGGAGACACAGCTAGGGGGACACAGCTGGTGGGGACACAGCTAGGAGACACAGCTGATGGACATACAGCTGATGGAGACACAGCTGGTGGTGACACAGCTGGTGACAACAGCTGATGGACACAGCTGGTGGAGACACACAGGACACATGGTGTGACACAGTTGATGGACACACAGGTGACACAGCTGGTGACACAGCCGATGGAGCAGGAAGAAGCTGGTGACACAGCTGATGGACATCACAGCTGATGGAGACACAGCTGATGGAGACACAGGCTGATGGAGACACAGCTGGTGGTGACACAGCTGGTGGGGACACAGCTGATGGAGACACAGCTGGTGACATTAGCTGATGGAGACACAGCTGATGGAGACACAGCTGATGGTGACACAGCCGGTGAATGCTGGTGGGGACACAGCTGGTGGACATCAACAGCTGGTGCATACAGCTGGTGACATTACAGCTGGTGCACACAGCTGGTGAGACACAGCTGGTGATGACACAGCCGGTGACACAGCTGATGGACAGCCGATGGAGACACAGCTGATGAGACAAGCTGACGGGTGACAGCTGGTGTATTGCCAGCTGATGGAGACACAGCTGATGGAGCACAGCTGGTGGAGACACAGCTGATGGGCATTGGTTGCTGGTGGAGCACACAGCTGATGGAGCACACAGCTGGTGGGGACACAGCTGGTGACATGCTGGTGGACACAGCTGGTGACACACACAGCCAGACACAGCTGGTGGAGACACAGCCAGGAGACACAGCTGGTGACACAGCTGGTGGAGCACAGCTGGTGGTGACACAGCTGATGGAGCAGCTGGTGTGAGCATACAGCTGATGAGACACAGCTGGTGACACAGCTGGTAAAGTTGATGGAGACACAGCTGATGGGTGACAGCTGATGGAGCACAGCTGATGGACACAGCTGGTGGATAGTTGGTGAGACACAGCTGGTGACACACTAAGCTGGCCAGCTGGCATGCCAGCTGTGCATTGGCACAGGCTGATGGAGACACAGCTGATGGAGACACAGCTGGTGGATAACAGCCGATGGTGACACAGCTGGTGGAGACACAGCGGTGACATACAGCTGGTGCATGGTGCTGGTGGGGCACAGTTGGTACAGCCAGTGGGACATACAGCTGGTGCAGACACAGCTGGTGGTGACATTGCTGGTGACACAGCTGGTAGACATGCTGGGCACACAGCTGGTGGAGACATGCAGGAGACACAGCTGGTGGCACATGCTGGTGACACAGCTGGTGGGGACACAGCTGGTGACACAGCTGGTGGAGCATACAGTGAGGACATAACAGCAGACACAGCTGATGGAGACACGCTGATGGAGCACACAGCTGGTGGACATGATATGTAGACACAGCTGGTGGAGCACACAGCTGGTGTATACAGCTGATGGAGACACAGCTGGTGGAGACACAGCTGATGGAGACACAGCTGGTGACACAGCTGGTGTGACACAGCTGATGAGACAGCTGGTGACATACACAGCTGATGGAGACATGCTGGTGGTACAGCCAGACAGCACAGCTGATGGACACAGCTGATGGACATTGCTGGTGACATACAGCTGGTGGAGACACAGCTGATGGAGAGCTTGGTGACAACATGACGGGAATACACAGCTGGTGGACATACGCTGATGGACATTGCTGATGGACACACAGCTGGTGAGCATTGGCTGGCCTGGATGGAGCATTATGGTGCTGATGGACACAGCTGGTGGAGACACAGCTGGTGTGGACACACTGATGGGAGACACACAGTGCAGACACAGCCAGGAGACACAGCTGGTGACATTGCCAGCTGGTGGAGACACAGCTGATGGAGACACAGCTGGTGGAGACACACAGGAGACACAGCTGATGGAGACACAGCTGATGGAGACACAGCTGATGGAGACACAGCTGGTGGAGCACACAGCTGGTGAGACACAGCTGGTGACCACAGCTGGTGGAGACACAGCTGGTGACACAGCTGGTGGTGACACAGCTGGTGGAGCACAGCTGGTGAGACACAGCTGGTGAGACACAGCTGGTGGTGACATGCTGGTGGAGACACAGTGCTGGCAGACACAGCTGATGGAGACATAGCTGGTGGAGACAGTTGGTGATGCACAGCTGGTGGAGACACACAGGAGACAGCTGGTGGAGACACAGCTGATGGAGACACAGCTGGTGGAGACAGCTGGTGAGCACAGCTGATGGAGACACACAGCTGGTGGACATACAGCTGGTGACACAGGCAGACACACAGGTGGAGCACAGCTGATGGAGACACAGCTGGTGGTGACAGCTGAGGAGACACAGCTGATGGAGACACAGCTGGTGACACAGCTGATGGAGACACAGCCTGCGGAGACACAGCTGGAGACACAGCTGGTGACATAGCAGGAGACACAGCAGGAGACACAGCTGGTTAACAACAAGGACATACACAGCTGGTGGAGACACAGCTGGTGGAGACACAGCTGGTGGAGACACAGCTGGTGTGACATGGGCTGTGCTGGTGGACATTGTTGCAGAGACACAGCTGATGGAGCACACAGCTGGTGGAGACACAGCTGGTGGAGACACAGGACACTGGTGCTGATGGACACAGCTGTGGAGACACAGCATGGAGACACATTGCGGGGGGACACAGCTGGTGGACATACAGCTGATACAAAGCTGATGGAGACACAGCTGGGGACAGCTGGTGGAGGACAGCTGGTGGAGACACAGCTGGTGGGGACTGGCTGTGGAGACACAGCTGGTGGGGACACAGCTGGTGGAGACACACAGCTGGTGGAGACAATAAGCTGATGGAGACACAGCTGGTGGGGCTTGTGCAGGAGACACAGCTGGTGGGGACACAGGCTGAGGAGACACAGCTGGTGGGACACAGATGGAGACACAGCTGGTGGAGCACACTGCTGACACACAGCTGGTGACATAACAGTTGCAGACAGCTGGTGCAGACAGCTGGGGAGACACAGCTGGTGGAGCTGGTGACACAGCTGGTGGAGACACAGCTGGTGGTGACACAGCTGGTGAGAGCACACAGCTGTGAGACACAGCTGGTGATACACAGCTGGTGGAGACACAGTTGGTGGACACACAGCTGGTGACATACAGTTGATGGACACAGCTGGTGGAGCATGGGTGAGACACAGCTGGTGGAGACACAGCTGGTGGTGACACAGCAGGTGACACAGCAGGAGACACAGCTGGTGGAGACACACAGGAGACACAGCTGATGGAGACACAGCTGGTGGAGACACAGCTGGTGGGCACAGTTGGGACACAGCTGGTGGAGACACAGCCAGGAGACACAGCTGGTGGAGACACAGCTGGTGACACAGCCAGAGACACAGCTGGTGACATCAAGCTGGTGGTGACAGCTGGTGGGGACACAGCTGGATGGACATACAGTTGATGGAGACACAGCAGGAACAGTTGGAGACACAGCTGGTGGAGCACACAGCTGATGGTGTCACAGCTGGTGGAGACACAGCTGGTGGAGACACAGCTGGTGGTGACACAGCTGGTGACACAGCTGGTGGAGCACACAGCAGGTACACAGCTGGTGGTACACAGCTGGTGGAGCATTGCAGCTGGTGGAGACACAGCTGGTGGATACACAGCTGGTGAGACACAGCTGGTGGAGACACAGCTGATGGAGACAGCTGGTGGAGACACACAGGAGACACAGCTGATGGAGACACAGCTGGAGACACAGCAGGAGACACAGCTGGTGGAGACACAGCTGGGTGACACAGCTGGTGGTGACACAGCTGAGCACACGTAACCGAACGAAGCACATCAG